TTTTCTCACTATTTATCCTGTTACTTTCATTCTGTCGTGTTAATATGGTGTAACGAAGTGGTTTACTCTATGTTGATTATGGCTCATAGATTAGTTTAATTTTAACCTGGGTAACTTATATTAGTTTTTTTTAAATAGAACTTAGTCTTGTCTTTCGTTAAAAGTTCATCTTTAATGGTAACCTCCATTTAACAAACTTGAGGGATGAAGTGAGTAAAATTAACAGAATAAGATATTTAACGAATATTGATTCATATAACTAATCAATAAATAAACCATGTATAAACGTTTCTTCATATTTCTATTCTCGTTCAATTTAATAAATGTTTGAATACTGTGACTCGAATAACTTGATATTTATACATTTTGCAAAGTATAATTTTCATAATAAAAGAAAAACAACCAAAATTTCGCAATAAAATTAAATCTCGATGTATTTTATGAATCAAAATCAATATTTTATTGCCTGTTAATAAGAACTAGGATATATATATATACATTTCATCATTTGAAATTCAATGTCTTATGGTTTTTTTCCCAATGCACGTTAATTATATACAGATTAAGTCTCGAAAGAATTGATTAAAATCCTCGATTTTGTTAGACTTCGTGTGAAGTGTTTAGTTCAAAACAAAAGTACGGTATGATGTTAAAAATATTAATGTGTTGTATATAAAGGAACAAAATCCAAATGATAAAATAATGTGCGTTGAAAGGACTCAACGTAAATCAGAAAAGAAAATGAAGATTTATTTGACATAGAAACTAGGATAATTAGCTTTTAATATACTCAGTCTTTTCAATATGAATTTATGTCAGATTTGTTAATAGCGTAAATTGTGAAAAACGATAACTTAGTCAAACCACAACTGAATAGACCAAAGCTCTTCACGTGAGAATGAATATCGCAATTACTTAAGATTTGTTAAATTATGATTTTGATACTTTGATGAAAAGGTCTTGTATCATGTTCATTTGAATGTTCAACTATTTCTGATGTAAAACTGACAAAATGAATGGCAATTCTTGAGAATATTGTAAACTTCCACCAGGCTATGGAAATAGAAGCATGATTTACGAATGCCCTATTTCAATTATAATTTGATAGGGACATTTGTGAACAAAGAATTTAGTGACTCTTCGATGCCAAATTAAATATTGAAGCTCGGGATGGAAACATGTGCTTTGGTATACCTTGAATCTGAAGTACATGTCCCTATTTACCAATTATCACGTGTTGAAAAATACCAGAGCTGGAAAAAACCGATTCAATCGTTTATTGACGGGCTTGGCTCCAGAGTTAACAATACGCTTATGGTCCATTCATCAGTGTTAGGATGATAATCTCTGAAGTGTGGTAAGATATATATATATATAATCTGGTATATTTCCGGACCTTTTGATTTAGTGTTTAGCATTTTCTTTAGAAGTTATAGTAAATTTATTTCTTCCATTCAACTTTCGACTACGTCTAGACAAATACTCAGATGTAATTTGCAATGTAGTCTATCAATATGAAAATATATACATTAATTCTTTGAGAACTAGGTCTTCATTTAGAAGAAATATGACGCCTCATAGTGAAAGCCGAGTTCCTTCGGAAGCCACGAGGCCGATGTCTCTTGTAACAACCAGAGCAAAAATTTTTATGGGTACATGGAATGTCCTGACAATGTGAGAGACCAGGAAGACCAGTCAAATAGCAACGGAAATGAGGAGATACAACTTGGTAGTACTGGGAATCAGCGAAACCCATTGGACCCAAGCTGGACAACAAAGGCTAAATAAGGGAGAGATGCTACTATACTCCGGAAAATGCTCCACACACTCAGGAGTTGCTCTAATGCTGTCCACAGTAGCACGAAATGCACTTGTAGGATGGGAACCTCACGGATCCGGAATCATCAAAACATCATTCAAAACAAAGGAGGGGATCACAATGAATATTATCCAATGTTATGCACCCACCAATGATAGTAAAGACATCAAAGATCAATTCTATGAGAGGCTGCAATCAATCATAGAGAAGTGCCCAAGAAAGGAACTCACCATTCATACGGGAGATCTTAACGCCAAAGTCGGGATAGAAAACACCGGATATGAAGATATAATGGGACGACATGGACTGGGAGAGAGAAACGAAAATGGGGAAAGATTTGGAAATCTGTGTGCATTCAACAAATTGGTCATAGGAGGCACAATATTTCCACACAAACGTATACACAAAGCTACATGGATCTCACCGGACCACAACACTACATAGAACCAGATAGATCATATTTGCATCAATAAAAAGTTCCGAAGGACAATCGAAGATGTGAGAAGCAGGAGAGGAGCTGACATAGCTTCAGATCACCACCTAGTTGTGGCCAATTTAAGACTGAAGCTAAAGAAGAACTGGACAAACAGCATTAAAAAGGTTCAATAAAGCCTTCCTTCGAGATACTGACAAACTCAATGAATTCAAGATAGCTCTCAACAACAAATTCCAAGCCTTACAGGATATACTGAAGGAAGAAGAAAATACTATGGAGGACAACTGAAAAGGTATCAAAAACGCATTAACTTCTACGTGTCAAGAGGTTCTGGGCCTCAAGAAGCATAATCATAAGGAACGGATCTCTATAGAAACACTGGACAGGATCAAAGAAAGGAAGAACAAGAAGACAGAAATTAACAACAGCCGAACACGAACGAGGAAAGTCCAAGCACAAGCTAAATACATAGAAGCAAACAAGAAGTGAAGAAAAGCATTAAAGCCACTCTCGGCCGTACCAGGGCCGAGAGTGGGGAGTGTCCGCTCTCCCTCTCGAAATGCCCCCACATGGCCACGCGTACATAGCCTCTGCCAGGGAAGTCCTACTCACTGCCTTCTCGTGGCGGGGGTGTTGTTTACGAAAATGAGAGGACGAAAAGCGAATGTCCGGCGCTTTAACCGGATTCCAAACCAATGGTGCACATGGGCTGCAGTATCCTGAAGGAACAAATGGCGTATGAACCAATTGTTGGTCACCGGCTACCATGGGACTGCATCTCCTAACGATGTTCCACTGCCTTGTGGATCAGACTTTCAAGTCGAAGGCTCGGGGAGTGGTCCCATAAGAAAACCACCTACTTCGGTTTGGGTACCCGGGCAGTATCACAGCCTCCACACATATCGAATGAGATTTGTGTGGCGCATATGTATTTGGTGCCTCTTTGTACCATTATCTATGTGTTGAAAAAAAACTAGCAACGACGGCGGAAAAAGCTGCAAGAGAAGGAAATATGAAACTACTTTACGATACAACGAAGAAACTAGCAGGGAAATACAGTAAACCAGAGAGACCGGTCAAGGACAAAGAGGCAGGCCAATCACAGAAGTTCAACAACAGCGGAACAGATGGGTAGAATACATCGAGGAACTCCTGAATAGGCCGGCTCCAGTGAATCTACCGGACATAGAAGCAGCGCACACAGTTCTTCCTATAGATGTCAATCCACCAACGACGGAAGAAATCAAAATGGCCATCAGACAAATCAAGAGCGGGAAAGCAGCAGGACCCGAAAACATACCAGCTGAAGCACTGAAGTCAGACATCGAAGTAACTACAAACATGCTTTACCTTCTATTCAAAAACATTTGGGAGGAGGAACAAGTGCCGATGGACTGGAAAGAAGGGCACCTCGTCAAGATTCCAAAGAAAGAAGATCTGAGCAAATGTGAAAGCTACAGAGGCATTACACTGCTGTCAATACCAGGGAAAGTCCTTAACAGTTTTGCTGAACCGGATGAAAGACGCAGTAGACATCCAACTTCGAGATCAACAAGCTGGATTCCGTAAGGATCGGTCGTGCACAGACCAAATTGCAACACTACGGATCATCGTCGAACAATCAATTGAGCGGACATCGTCACTATACATCAACTTCGTTGATTATGAAAAGGCATTTGACAGTGTAGATAGGACGTTATGGGAAATTCTTCGACACTACGGAGTTCCTGAGAAGATTGACAACATTATCCGGAACCCATACGACGGACTACAGTGCGAAGTAGGACAGCTGACAAACGCATTCAAAGTGAGGACCGGAGTCAGACAAGGCTGTCTACTCTCTCCCTTCCTCTTTCTTCTGGTGGTCGACTGGATTATGAAGACCTCGACATCTGAAGGAAAACACGGAATACAATGGACAACTCAGAATCAATTAGACGATTTGGACTTCGCAGACGACCTAGCCCTCCTATCACGTACACACGAACAGATGCAGATGAAGACAGCCAGTGTAGCAGCAGTCTTTGCAACAGTAGGCCTCAGCATACACAAAGGGAAAACCAAGGTCCTCAAATTCAAGGCGGAGAACAGCAATCCAATCACTCTTGATGGCGAAACTCTGGAAGATATAGAATCCTTCACATACCTGAGAAGCATCATCGATGCATAAGGAGGTTCAGGTGCAGACGTAAAGGCGAGGATTGGCAAAGCAAGGACAGATACTCAACATCCATTGGCCGGATACCATCAGCAACAGCCTTCTGTGGGAGAGAACAAACCAGCTCCCAGCTGAAGTGAAAATTCGGAAAAGACGATGGAAATGGGTAGGATATACATTACGCAAATCATCAAACTGAATCACGAGGCAAGCCCTAGCTTGGAATCCTGAAGGGGAGCGGAACAGAGGAAGGCCGAAGAATACATTACGTCGGGAAATAGAATCAGATATGAAAAGGATGAATAACAACTGGAAAGAGCTGGGAAGGACTGCCCAGGACAGGGTTGGATGGAGAATGTTGGTGAGCGGCCTATGCTCCTTCATGAGGAAGTAAGTAAGTAATAACTACACATCACTTAGCTCTATAATGGTGTATATTCAACAAATGTATCAAATTATATTTAGTTAGCTGATTTTAGACTGATTCGATGGTATAGAAGAAAGGTCATTTAAAAAAGGGGTAAGGAATTTCGTCGTGAAGAAGGAATATAAGGAATCAATATAAGAAAACAGATCACGTGATGATGCACGGTGGGAGAAATGTTACGCCGGAAATGATTCGGAATAATAAAGTCATATAAACATGAAGTATAATTAGGACAATGATAAGAAATTTATATAAACTGGGATGAATGTGCAAATAAACGATGGAGCAGAACAGAAATGTACGAAAATAGAATCAGGGATAGGTAAGGGTCCATTCTATGTGACTTTCATTTATGGGAAGACCTCAATTGTAAGCCATGATAATGAGAGGTTGAATGGGCCACTTTTGGATACATGAGTTAGATTCTCGGGAGTTGATCTTCATTGCTTCAGCTATGTAAGAGTTATAATCTTGCTCTATTTAGGTCAACTGTTTAGGACTTTATGCAAAATCGAGAAAGCTTGTACTAGATGAGAAAGGACAGTGCAGTTAAACTGGTAGAAAATTTTTAAAGAACTCATCATCAGTAACTTGCCGCCGAGCATTTACGGGCTCGATTGAAAAGGTAACATGCAATGTATCCAAATTAAATTTACCTAAACCACTTTTAGATTTGAACAGTGGAAATAAACATTTTACTTTAAAAATGAGTGGTTGTATTTTGAATGATTAAATTTTACCTCAAATTGATGGAATTAGAATCAACTAATAGTGTACACTTGTTACTACAACACTTAATAACTCTAACTTTATAAACAACACTACCAAAACGTCTAAGAAATGAAATTATAAGAATATCTTCAGCCAGAAAATCAGAACGCTAGGAAAAACTAGCTGTCGGTTATTTCGAATGAGCTAAAGCTATCTAAACCTCACTCACTGACGGACGATAATGCCTAAAAAGGATATTCCAACTAGACGATTTGTATACTGGCTATATGTACATACAATATTTAGTTAAATCGCACCACAGAGATAAAAAATTTCAAAATAACTTTAGTTCGTTGTGGCAACAAATGAACATAAACTAGAAACATTTCAACGTGGTGCTGCAGCCTACATGCAGCGACCTAGTATTTAGAAGTTGTTTTCCAACCTCATAACTGACTTAAGCATCATATAACGCTAATCAAAACTAATATGATATCGGAAACCGTTTAAAATCCAAGAGCCAACAATCACCGAAAAATAAGATAAACCCGACAAAGTGGGTCAGAAAGATATTTCCCTCACCATCAAATAATTTTATAAGACCAAAAACAAAATCATAAAACACATATATAAACACAAACTGTTGCCTGAAACAAAGTAAGTTAAACGAAATTTGGAATAATGGTCTGCTTTTTAGAAGTCAAGTGTTTCAACCAATTAAATGACTTAAATATCACATCAGTCAATACGACATATGGTTCGGGAAACTTCAATGGATTACACTAATATAAAAATAACTTATAGAATAGAAGCGAAAATCCCCAACATTACCATAAGACAAAGACATTTGTCAACACCAATAATTCTGAGCACAAGTACTAATTGAGGAATTTATTATAGAAGTCGAGATTAATTATTTTTAAATGAAGCTGTTTCAATTGCTAAGTTGAAGTACTGTGAATGGTAAAGTTAATTACATATGCTGCGGGTCAGTCAACTAGTTATCATGTGGAAGCTTAGGAACTACTAAATATAGTAAATTTAAATAGCCTTCATAAATCAACAAAGATAACAGCAATAACTTCACTATTAGCCCAACAGTACTTTTAGTATACAACTTTAATATTATCATTTTCTGTGTACACATAGATATACGGCTTAGTAACCATGTAAACTGTCAAACTAAACCACTTACTTCGTGTTAACGAGTGGTTGACCCAGTCGAAACAAGAGTATTATACCCCAACCAATAAATCAAGTTCACAAAAGAATCACTTGGTATCACTATGTAAAACATTAGAAATTCAAGTTAATTCTGTCATTCACTAGAAACAATGTCCTTATAACGATTACGTTTTTGGAGTATTTCCGTCAGTACCAATATTATTAATTCCATTACGTAGCAGTAAAGAAGTATGAGTTTATCAGATAAGGCTACAGTCAATCCTCTTCATTATCACCTATTCTCTCTACACTCGCACCTTTCTTTTATAAAGAAAACCAAGAGCAAGGCTTCGTTACTTACCTTGGATCAATTTCTTTTATGCTTTAAAATGATGTGATTGATTGCCGAATTTACTATCGGCCAGCTGTAGCAAAAATGCATCAGCTCTAATCTTAATTGTCACATATATACTAGGCAATAAAAATGCTATTCCGGTCGTATATTCAGCTCGACTTTTGTGCAGGTTGCTAAATATGATACAAACAACAGAACCAACATCATGAAAATAAAGTAGTTTTGCTTTCATACAGTTATTCAATTAGATATTACAGAAAGATTAAATAATTCACAAAATATGATTTAGAAGAACTGAGAAAATAAATTAAGGATTATCATCAATTTTTTCATGATTTATTCGTGTTGATTTATACTTTTAAAATGCCAATGTTTGTTTGCTTCGACTTTACTATTCGCCTTTTGGGTGATATAAAAGCAGATAGTTACAATTAAAATTACAGTGAAGTACCACCAGTGGTAGCAACGTAAAATTCACCATACACTCGTGGTTGTTCCACTCTGAGCGAAGTTTTGTTATTACTTATTTTAACACATAGATATTGGTACAAGGAGGCACCAAATACATATGCGCCACACAAATCTCATTCGATATGTGTGGAGGCTGTGATACTGCCCGGGTACCCAAACCGAAGTAGGTGGTTTTTTATGGGGCCACTCCCCGAGCCTTCGACTTGAAAGTCTGATCCACAAGGCAGTGGAACATCGTTAGGAGATGCAGTCCCATGGTAGCCGGTGACCAACAACTGGTTCATACGCCATTTGTTCCTTCAGGATACTGCAGCCCATGTGCACCATTGGTTCGGAATCACGGTTTTCCAACTCCCCTAGATGGACTCGCCGTGTCCACCAGTTCGGTTAAAGCGCCGGACATTCGCTTTTCGTTCTCTCATTTTCGTAAACAACACCCCCGCCGCGAGAAGGCAGTGAGTAGGACTTCCCTGGCAGAGGTTATATACGCGTTACTTTTTGTTTCAACCAACCTTATTTTCTAACTTACAGAATGAGCTAGCAACCTTGGATTAACAGGCTATTGCAATGTAGATAATTTACAGTGTGATCAAGTCTCTTACTATCAAACAATCAAATCGCACTTCAACACCAGGATCTCTAACGTATGCTGAGTAGTATTACATATGGACAAGCTAAGCAACACCAAACTCCCCATAACACTATAATCGTTTAATTGATAAACTGAAAAAATGTAAGGTGATGTCTCAGACACGGTTCAAATAGTTAAGTCGCATCGATTCTCCATATCTCTCTTAAATTTTAAATAAATTCCATTTCAAACTTTCCGTCTGTTGCGTTAATACAGTTTATATAGTGCTTAAACTTACGATGAAGTTGGTATTAGTACCCAATCTTTTGTTCCATTCCTTAGTGTACTAATGTGCAGCAACTCGAAGTGGTAAACATTAGACCGGGCCCCACGTTGGTAATTGACAACAGAAAAATAGTCAGTTTCTTAGCAATAACTGTAGACTAAGTAGAGCTTTTCCACTCAGAATATTCAATTGGTGACTCCTCTTGTATGTGCTGATCAGGAGAGCTGTAACTCGATGTAGTATGAGCAGACACTCCATACATTAATAATATATCCCAAGGAATCCCAAAGCACTTCGTAGCTGCCACTTATCCATGAAATCCTCACTTTAGGAGGCAAACTGTAAATGGTTCTGAACAATACAATCTTGACCACTTTAGTCGATTCATGTTTAAAATTTTACTGCTAAGCCTGGCTTCCTTAGCTGAAGCTCTACCATCTATTTCCACTAATAACTATCACTAAATTCGAATGATGGCTCGCAGGATTATATGCCCGGATATAGGCTCTTACGTTGACACTTAACAATTATTTTACATGGCTATGTAGGAGGAAAAATTATTCACTAGGAAATATACGTATGTACCACTGACGTGCTGGAAACTATCCTGATGCAATTTTACAATTTACCATCTTATTATTCCTAGTTCAATAGTACAAGCAGTGAAGTGGTCATCACAATGAAATGATATGTGACCTGGATATTGGGCAACAAGATAAATTTTATTCGAATTACTGCAGGCATCAACACGGCTAACTTGATACTCTGCGTCTGATGTCAACAGTGTTAATACTTTAGCCCTACTTTATGCGAATAATTCACAGAATACGCTTATTACTAATTAACAGCATTTCGAACATAGTTTCTAACTATCTTGTCTGAGAATCGATACCTTACACTTTTGGAATCAGTAAGAACTGTAAGGATAATGGTCCGTTGGAGTGGGAAGTGGTAGCAATATGAAAATGGCGAGAAAGTTGTGGAGCATCTGAACTTACCAGTCAAGTATTAACTCGGCAAGTATTTAAAAGTACGAAATTCAGTAAATGCGAGGTAGGCTTTACTGAGATTAAAAGAGGAAAGTATGGAGTTCGCAAACTAAAATACAAGCGTTTTTAATGCGGAATGTTTCGTTAAGATTCAAAATTAGGTATTAGATCTTGGGTTTCCCCATGCACTTAATGACCTCAGTCCATAGACTGGAATATTGGTATGCATCATACAAGCAAAATAAGACAAACATGTGACTCAGATGTGAAGCGAAACAAACTGTACGAAGCTATGAGGTGGGAATTGGGGAAGATGACGACAAGTAACAATTAAGTTGAATAGTATGATCTCAGAGTCTACAAGAAGTCGCCGGCATTAAATAAGGGATTGCTAATGTGCTGTATGCAACAAAAACACCATGAATAAAACCAGAGATAAAATTTGGGATCTGCTTACTTATGTACCTCTGAGGTACTTTTTCCAAAGTTAGACAAGTGTTTCTATTCCGACCACCAGTTTAGAATCACCGATGTACGTAACGCGTCGACTAAGATGCTTTCCCGTCGTTTACCTCGAACAGAAAATCAGTCATGGTATGCATAAAACAACCCAAAATAAACTACTTTGTGAATCTTATACCTTGAAAGCTTTATGCGGCAACAAATAAACGCAGAATATGAAGTGAGATTTGATTTCTCATAAAAAAATTAAAATAATCAAAATGGGTCAAAGGATTGATTACATAAAACATTAAGTGTCGACTAGATAAATGAAAAGCAAGAACAAAAAGCATGTATATAATGGGTAAATTCAGAAATCCTTCTATTAGGGGGGAGGAAATATGTCAGTACACAAATGTACACTAATTACAAGATTGACAAAATACTAGTGTGACGATAAATGCACCAGTGCAATGAATGAACTGAAAGGTTAGATTATGCACAGATCTTAGATTAACTGGAATAGTAAGTTTATTTTATAGAATTATTTACAGAATCAAGACTTTGGTAACCGTCACATCGTTACACGATTTCCAAGTTTCAGAAAACAAGCAAGAGATCAAATGCGGTAATAAACGATACAGAAACAATAAAATAACGATTTCATAAATAATTCGGTTACCTGGAATTCACAACATTTAAAGTACGATATCAGGTAATGAACAGCTGAATATATAAATATTGTATCACGAGCTGTGGCAGTTACAGCAGAAATGAAAAAGAGGTAAGGTATATTTCACAAGTTTACTAAGTGTGTGTGGTCACAAGCTCCGGAGTTTGAGAATTGAGTACACAAGACACAGGCCCGGCGCATGTTTTTTTGTGATAATAAAACGAGGCACCCCAACGGTACCGTTTACCACAACTCCCACAGAGGTACTTACCTTCAGCACGATGTTTTCCATCTACATGCTGTTTGAGAGATAGTTTGGAGTTGAACTCCTTGCCACACATGTTACACGAAAAAATACCACCAGGATTAGAGTGCATTAAAGTTGTATCTTTTAGTTGTGAAAGATATTCGGGCGGTAATTCCCGGAAATTTGAAATAGAATTCCTTTGTCGCGGAGATCTGAATCCTAAGTTGTTTGAAGTAGACAGGGCTCTATTAGCAAGATTTTCGAAGACAGAGGACGCCGACACAACTTTTGGACATATAGTTGCATGCTCAAGGTAGGAAGGGACATTTAGAAAGCTTTCCGTGCATAGGCATGTTAGCGAACAGTTAGCTGCATCATCACCGATGACTGGAACATTCTGAATGATGTTATCGTTCGCCAGTTCTTGAGTGAAAGAAACTCCTGGTGCATTCACGAAACGGTTGAACGCGGTTTGTCTCGGTGAAATATGATCGACATGCATTTGGGAATCCTCGACTTTCATAACTGAACCATTAAGACAACGGTAGTCAGAAGCGTGACCGATTTCACTCATACTAATGACCGGACGCTTTTTACACCGTTGCTTGTGATGGTAATAAACAGGTGGCCAACGGTAGACATTGCCACACCATCTGCATTTGTAGCGAGGAGGAAAATGGAGATGCATGTGTTGATCGAGTAGAGATTTGCTTTTAAAACCCTTATAACATTTTGGGCAACCGTAAGGCTTGTCACCTGACGGACCTGGAGCAGACGATACTGTAGACTGGCGGTAAGGGTGGTATACATTAGGCTGACCCAATTTCGTACCCGCGATACCACCGTCACAGTTAGAATGAAGGATGCTAGGTAGAATTCTACGTCCGTCCTTAAGTGAGGCGAAGTTGCGGCGAGGATCTTCCAAGTCAGTAGATGCTACGGGACAATCTACATAGTGCCTCAAAAACAACGGCAAACGGTTATAAGAGTCTCCACATGTACAAGAGAAGCTCCCTTCATCAGGATGAACACTTTCAAAATGATCCCAAAGCTGTTCAGACGTGCCGGCTGAAAATTTGCATTCTGGGCATGACCGGAGAGATGTGCCATTCGGAAGAGCTTGAACAGTTGGGTTGCAACTAATAAAGTTGAACATACACTAAAATTCTCACTTACCTGTCGCTTTTGTAACAACACTTTTGAATGTGGGACACGATAAAAGAGAGAAATTCACTGTCACTCCCAACTGGTTTGTGTAGTTGCTTCAACTTGTGAAACTGCTCAAAGACATCAGGCTCAACACTGATTTGCATGTTTTATATTCAAAACTTTTAATATATGAACATGCGAAAAAACTACAACATATTCAGAGGCTTTAAAAAAGATCCCAGTCCGTACGACAAATGTCCAAAACACGCGCTCCGAATTCTAGATTGCTCAGGAGTGAAGCGACCAACTTTATGTTTAAGGAAAAGGATTGTGATTAAGAAGACGTATCATCTTTGTCACGGTCTATTCAAAACTGGAAAAAGTGAAAGATCATCTAGTAACAAAATACGTAGTTAGAAAATGACACATGACGTAGTCTTCTCCATCGCCTTTATAAAATAAAGTAAATCTCTAGAATTGTTTTAAAAGAACCAATCGAAAGCGTCATCATCAAATCTTTCAGCTTTTATTATTTCTTTTAACAGAGGAATTACTATAATGCTCTTTTGTGTTTTGCGCCTCTTATAACATGTTTCGCTGAATACGATGTCTCTCTCATGGCATATAGTGTCAATTGGAGTCCGATACCAAAAGCAATTTTCTGCTGCATAAACAATCCAGATGATTTCAGGATTGATGACAAAGGCCGATCGAAACTGGTGACAATGCTAGTGAACTGTGAAGACAGTAATCCTCTGTGGAGGTATACGGATCGCCCATTCAGAAGGACTATTGTCGGTATATTTTTGACAACTTTGGAGGTGGATCATTTAGGACAAAGACGAGAAAATATGTTTATTTCAAACAGATATCCACTACTTACATACCAACACCACAACTTTATTTCGCATAATGGATGATTCGTATATGCTAGACATGACACTTATGAACAACACATTTAGGCTGGGGAAAGTGTAATATATTCAATACGACAAGCAAGAGGTTACATAGAGTAACCGCGCTTGCGTGGAGAACCATGCTATATCCACACTGTTCACAATTACTGAACTCTCCGCCTTAAACGCTGAATGTGAATTTTCTCACTTATCTTATGTTTAGTTTCGAGTATCGTGTGGTTAGAATCAAAACCACTATACCTGAAAAGTGGCAAGCAACTTAAAGCCATACGTAATCGCACCGTTTAATCGTTGAACCTCGGTAGGTTGTAATACACCAAATGTAAACAAACGAGTGGCAACAGCAGATATGTAATTAAAAATTAAGAGGCAACACAGTGCTAAGAGTAAATGAGCACCAGATCCCGATTAACCTGTTCGTAATCTGAAAGGTCAATTCCATCACAGCGGCTCTCTTCGACAAGCCGAAAATAGAGTTTTCCAGTTGTCAGGTCCAATGTCAAAGTTATTCTAGTAGAACAGTATTTTAAAACATTATGCCCGTCTCAAATAATCTCCATTACAGAAATAGCCTGATAGCTGAATTGAACCACTGAAATAGTGTATGCAAACAAGAAAATATCTCCGCCCCTATATATTGAGAAAAGCTTCCACAATCCTGCTAACACTATTTGTTGGGTTGTACTCCTATTCACCAGACCAGGCAGCGGTCCCAAACAATTGAAAGCGGGCATCACAATAGGCATTTATGGAGCACAAACAAATGAATTTCACGACCACTTGCTGGCAACATTTGCCTCGGTACCCTCCTCAAGTTTATGGAATCTCCGATTCACGCTGGTCCTCAACCACTTATTTACAAAACTCTTTTCACCCAAACAACACAGTTTCAGGGAGGACCAGCAATTAGTCACCAATTAGTTAACTATAGTGAGCAGATGCACCAAAATTCTCAATCGTGGGTGGAAACTGAATGTGGTACACCTCGTCACTTTTGAGGTTCACAGACAGGATTGGTTTGCTTGTTGACAAAACGTTCAAAAAAAATCGATGGTATCGAATTATGGAGTAGAAATGTCTTTTCGAAGAGAAAGCAAATATTATTACTCGCCATATAAGTTGGACGTTACTTCATGTAGTATTATTTAGCTTAGCGTTGTTCAGGAAACGAGGCTTATTTGGTAACTGAACAATGTAGGAGCACCAGATAAAATGGACGGTCGGTTGACAATACTGCATAGAGCGATGGATTTGATCACTCTGTGTTGGTTAGGGTAAAACAAGTCGTATTCGCTCAAAGCTGCCCGCCGTTCGTCTAAACGATCTTGAACGAAGTGACATAAGGCGGTCATTTTGTAATTCAATTGTTGTTAGTGTTATCTTAGTTAAGTGATTCTTTCCTACAGGACAACCGAAAACTCATTAAGAAGAACGTTAATTCAGCTCTCTTTGTTATGTAGTGCACATGTTGGATCGATTAATGCCTCGTATTCTGGGATACCAATTTCCTTACTGAACGTCGCCGCCTTCGTTTTAAACTTGGTTTGGTCCGGAAAACAACGTAAGAAATTTAAGAATAAATTAACAGTTCTAGATACGCGAACTTTGTGTGGATCGTTGTTTTACTCAAGGATTACGACGAAAAATCAAACAACGGGTTAGTCCTTAATGTTAGTGATACTTACTTCATTTATGAAATTATTGTTTCGACGAATAACTGCTTTTTATTGATTACCTAATGCTGTTCGCATTGCGTCAGGTTCAAGGTATTTTTTAGTCGATGTTAGTGGTGCGTTTTAACGCATAATGCTGAAAGGGCGTTTCGGAAGCGAGACTGAATTCGATAGTGTGCTAAAAGAATTCCAAAATGTAGGACAAAATGATTTTTTCCTTCTCAGACCAACATACTCATTACATTCACATCGAAAGTAAACTGCTTTTGCAGATACTCGTTATTTCGGTCGGTGATGACGGATAATTTTTGTTGGGTGCTTCCTGTTTTGTTTGACTGGAAGCAGAAAGAATTGCAAGCAGATGTAACCTGCATCAAGGATAAATTGCAACATGACAGTGTCTTTTGAGTTATTTACTACTGGCACACATAATACGAACATTTACAGGTACGCTCGATCAATTATGAAATATTAACTGTATAGTTCATTATATTCTTAGACATTGCAGTCGAGGAAAGATAGATAACACTCAAACACTTTCCATAATAACACAACAATTTCACTACCCAGACGATGCAAGCAGTATGTGCAGATTCAATGAAACCAGTTTTTACATAAGAATCATCAATACTTAGATAAGACTGTGGCTTCTCTAAAAAACGCATTGCTTTACTTATGAGGAATATGTGACCAATTAATGTGGCACTTACCATAGTGTTGTACACGGTTCCTGTATATTTTCAGAAAGCGAGCAGGAAAGGCTAGAAACGTCAACTGTCAATCATATAATTTTTGATTCTCAGATACGCTACATATGTCAGTCCAGTCAACAACGATGATACTTAAAATGGACAGAACTGTTTATGACTGTATAATAGAAACTTACACAATATTCCAAAATAGTTTAGCATTTAGTTTTAGGGCACATTTTTACTTAAAACTCTGACTGCGGTCTATTCGAAGTGATAAATAATGACTTCCAATTTCTTGAGTTTACGTTGTTACAAATAACCACATTAGGCTGACTAGACATTCACCCAGGTTGTGAGCAACAACTACGTCAAACTACTAATGAACTGGAACAAACGCTATGTAACAAGCACAGACATTACGAAAATTATTGTGTTACGGAAAACATTCTGTTAATAGTTGATAAATAACGACATCCAAAATCTTCGACAACACGTAGTGTATGCGCGACAACTCGTAGTCTGACTTCTTCACCATGTCAGCGTACTGTATTCAGAATTCGAAATCATGCACACCCCAAGTACAAAAGAATCATTAGTTCGCACAAACACCACAGTATTCCACCATAGTACTGAGTGAGGTCATTTCAAATCCTAACGCTCTTAATTTAGCTATAACCTAGAGTAGTCCAGCTCCGTACTGAATTTCGTGTTCTGTCACAATAGTGGATGACCAAATGAATTTTGCAATCGTTTTATCGGTAAGAGAGTTTTCTATGGATAGAACAGTAATGATTTTAGCTCTAGCGGTTCTAGTCAACGCATAAGAGAGTGGCATCCGATTGATTCAAGTAAGAATTTAGTTGAATTGGAAACTTTATTGTGTCGGGTCTCCTGATAGTTTTGACATTTTCCCAGGGAGTGAACTCACTTCTCTATGCTTTTATTTATCTTGAAGCAGGAAAATGGTAAATGATTGCTCTTCGTGGTCATCTGGATACCTGGTAGATATAATTTGTGCAACATGTGAAGGACCTTGCAGAGATAATTTTTGATATAACAGAACTATCCCTTTCTGCGAATAAATCAGATATAATGCGTCTTCATCTACTCTGATTGAAGAACATGGAGATTCAGAGATTCTGATGGACACTTGCGATTGATGTTATTGTGTTATTTATGGCCTTGAAGTATTTTAAGAAAGTTGGTCTCTTGTAATTGGTTTAAAGGAACTTACTTTACACGGTTCATTTCATAATATTGTGTGCTATACATCTAAAGTAAACTGCTGTATGAACTCGTTCGGAGTTTGACAACGCCTTTACAAGTATCACCTTTATAACCGAAGTATGCCAACTATGTCAAATCAGAGGTCAGAAATGAAATGGTTCGAGGGTATATTTGAAGGCCTATTTATATATCGGGACCGTTTGATCTAATCTGGCTACCTGTGATGTGATGCGGATACGTGACTGAGTGCCATCAGGTAGGTGCGTCCAGTAAAACTATTTTATCTTATCTTATCCGAACACATAAATATTGCGCCACACAAAACAATGAGAATTCGAAGAGGAAAAAAAAGCAATGACGAACAGATTAGTGTAAGGTAGTGCAATAATAATAATAATAATAATGGGGGAAACGGAAAGGTACAGTCAGAAGAATTCTTTCAGTTAAGGAAGATACAACGATTTATTTATGAAGAAAGTAAAAGAAGGTTACAGCAGGATCGCCACTGGCTTCTATTCTGAGCCATATCTGATAACATCTCTAGCCACTGTGTAGCACCATCTCTCAGACCCCAACCAGGGAGTCGTGAAGGAACAACACAAGCCAGTCCTTCGCAGCTTTCTTTCATGCCACGACACCATGTCATGCACTGACCACCTCTCCGCTTCTTCCAACCAGTCCCAGAGTCGGCAAATAATGCACGACGTGGAATTCTCAGGGACAACATTCGGAGAACATGTCCAAGCCACCGAAGTCGGTGTTTCA